TTGATAGGCTCTGGGGGAGGGGTTTCGACAGGCAGCGGGGCACAAGAGCTGAGCCCGGTGGCACGAATCTAATGAGCTTAGCCCCCAGCTTGCCCAGTTTCAGCTGGCAGCAAGGTGCAAAGCTGATGAGCATTGCACCTCCTAGCTCAATCTCTCGGCGCTGTGAGGAGAGCGCCCAGCTGCCTGCCGAGACCAGGCTGGCTGGGGGCTGGGCAGCATTGCGCAGGTGATGTTGACTCTCATGTTGCTCATGGCATCCCCTCTCCCAGAGCCCACCAAGCCAGGTATGTGAAGTAGCTGAGGGCCCTGTGCTGGCTACTTCCAGGTGATGGTGCATTTCTCCATTCCTCACGAAGGGTGACACCTCCCCAGCTGCGTTTCTTGCCTGTTTTTCTCCCTCATCTCAAATATTTTCCCACCACTCTGAACTTAGGAAGGAAAGGAGATGGAAGGTCTGAGGGAACTCTTGCTTTAGTCCTGCCCTGCTGTCCTTTCACCATCGCCTTGCGCCTTCCTCCTGGCCTATCCTGGGGATCTCCCATCCTATTGCTAAGGAAGCTTTGGATATAAAGCCGTCTCTACTCCCATGGAGAGGGAGTTTGCCTCCCTCTGACTTTGCCCTCATACCCATCATGAGCAACCTGGCTAAGGAGAGCAAGCACAGCAGCAGCAGCCTTGAGGAGGTAAATGCAGCTGGGAGCCACCTTGGGCAAGTGGGGCTGGGCTTGGTGCTGCAGGTGCTTGAGGGCCAGGCTGGGCATTTGACCTCTGCTGCCCAGGGCACCAGGCAGCCCGCACCACCATCCAGCCCTCCCCCCCGGCATGGCCTGAGAGGAACAGTGAGGCTCCTCCAGTGGACCATGCTTTGGCACTTGCCCTGGTCCCATCCCCTTCTGCCAGAGACCCTCAGATCTGTCCCACTCCTGCCCAGCCCCCACAGGCACCTTTGACTCGAACTACGTAAAGCTGGCCACGCCCACCCAGTAGGCCACACCCACTTCATCCACACCCAGCCAGTAGGCAACACCCACCCTGGCCATACCCACCCCCCCCCCAGGGCAACCGCAATGCTGATGCGGCCCTCAATGAAATTGAGTTTGCCACCCCTGTGTTAGGGAAATCACTGAAATTGTTAAATTAGTTACACAGTTCTTAAGCGAATCTGGTTTCCCCATGGTCTTTGTCAGAAGGTTGCAAAACGAGATCACATGACCACGGGACCATCATAAATATGAATCAGTTGCCAAGCATCCAGATGTAAATCACGTAACCCTGGGGATGCTGCAACGGTCATAAGTGTAAAAATTGGTCAGAAATCACTTTTTTCTGTGCCGTTCTGACTTTGAATAGTCACTAAGTGAACTGTTGTAAGTCAAGGGCCACCTGTACTTTATCACTTTTCCCTTTTTTTTTGGTCAAGTTTTTGATACCTTGCTAGGTGACTGGTGGTAATCGAATATAGGCATATTCCGAAAGTGGTACAATCTGTGAAAAGGTTATAAAGCCCTGCTTTAAATGTTGTATCTTGTTTATTAGTGTTATAGCCCATTGGCCATTAATATAACTCTTTTTTAAAATTTCAAAATTATTTTCATTCTTTCTTTTCTTATTTTGTGTAGTAGAAAGGTTATCCTGCTGATCAATTGTCCCTGTCCTTTGGCAGAATATTTTCCCTCAGGATATATTTTGTGAACTTTGGGTATTGCCCAATTTAATCGCACATTCTGTTTGATATGGATGTTGTCATTTTATTTTACATATCCAGATTGCAGTCATGATTTTTCTCTTCAAATGTACATAAACTCTGCTCAGCGCAACCAGTACCTTGTTCTCATCCCATGCTTGAATTTCTCTGCGTATTTGTAATGTTAACTGAAGATAATAAATTCTATTCAAAATATACTGTATACCGTAGTCTGCATTCTATGATGTATTCCTTTCTTGTGATCAAAGGTGCTCTCCTTGGTCTACAGATCTCTGGGTCCAGCGCAGGACGAACGGATTGGGGGCTGAACATCGGAAGGCGCCTGGTAGCATCTTTTCCAACTGACACATTTCCTTGCAAAACGAGGAATTGTGAATGCAGCCGCCTCTGTCAGATGCAGAGACTGACGCAGGATGGAAATCAGGGAGAGCGACGGGAGGGGAAGGCAGGTTGGATCCGGGGCTACAAACGAGGGGAAGTCTCACCCTCTGCCTCGCTGTGGATGTCAACAGGATGGCTGGAACAGAGAGGTTCCTTTCCTCTATGCTCTCTTCCTGGAGACGGGACTTGCTCTCTAGGCCATAGGTCGGCAACCCGCGGCTCCAGAGCCACACGTGGCTCTTTCAGCCTTCTCCTGTGCCTCCCAGCCTCCTCTGCCATTTACAGAGACAGAGAGAGGCACTTGCGCTTCCCTTCCCTTCTCTGTGTGTGTGTGTGTGTGTGTGTAAAACGAGTGGCCTGACGCTGTTCTGACGAGCTGACAAGCTTATTGGGTGGGGCTCTTGCCTTTGCTGTGTTTCTGTAGGAAGCAGGAAGGGCAGGAGAGAGCCAGCCCAATAATGTGTGTCAGCTTGAGAAGAACAGCCTGAAGCCAGCTTGACAGAGTGAGCAGAAGTTCAGAAAATGAGCCGAGGTGGTGCAGCAGTTAGAGTGCAGTACTGCAGGCCACTTTAGCTGACTGTGTTCAGCAGGTCAGCGGTTCAAATCTCACCGGCTCAAGGTTGACTCAGCCTTCCATCCTTCAGAGGTAGGTAAAATGAGGACCCAGATTGTTGGGGGCAGTGTAAAATATATATATACATTGCTTACTGGTGTACACCGCTTAGAGAGTGCTTGCACTTAAAGCGGTGTATAAGTCTCATAAATAAATAAATAAAAATAAAAAGGGAGATGGGGGGAGAGAAAGAGAGAGAGAGGGAGAAAGAGAGACAGAAAGAAAAAGGGAGAAAGAGGGAGAGAAAGATAGGTGGAGAAAGGGAGAAAAAGAGGGGGAGAGAAAAAAGGGAGAAGGGGAGAAAGGGACAGAAAAAGGGGGAGAGGAAGATTGAGAGAAAGTGGAAAAGAGGGAGAGAAAAGGGAGAGGAAAGAAGAGAGAAAGAGAAAGGGAGAGAAAAAGGGAGAGAGGGGGAGGAAAGAAAGGTAGAGAGATGGAGAGGAAACTGCAAGAGAGAAAACGAGAAAGGGAAAGGGAGAGAGAAAAAGAAAGGGAGAGGAGAGAAAGAGGGAGAGGAAAGAAAAAGGGAAAGTGAGAAAAAGAGAAAAAAGAGGGAAGGGAGAGAAAGGGAAGGGAGGAAAGAGGGAAAGGGGAGAGGAAAAGAAAGAGGAAGAGAGAAAAAGGGAGAGAAAAAAGAGGGAAAGATAGGTAGAGGGGGGGAGAAAGGGAGAGAGAAAAAGGAAAAGGAAGAGAGGGAAAGAAAAAGGGAGAGAGACAGAGAAAAAGAGGGAGGGAGAGAGGTAGGAAAGATCAAGAGAGGGAGAGGAAAGAGGCAAGTGAAACAGGAAAGGGAGAGAAAACGAGAAAGGGGAGGAAAGGGAGAAAGGGAGAGGGAGAGAAAGGGAGAGTGGGAGAGAGAAAAAGGGGGAGAGGAGATAGAAAAAGGATAGGAGGAAGGGAGGAAAGAGGGAGACAAAAAAGACGGAAAGAGGGAGAGGGGGAGGAAACAAAGGAAAGAGAAAGAGGGGAGAGGGAGAGAAAGGGAAAGAAAAAAGGAAAGTGAAAGGGAAAAAGAAAAAGAGAAAAATGAGGGAGGGAGGAAAGAGTGATAAAGAGAAAATGGAAAGGAAAGAGAAGAGAGGAAAGAAAAAGGGAGAGAGAAAAAGAGGGGGAGGAAAGCAAGAGAGAGAGGAAAGAAAGATGGAGAGAAAAAGAGAAAAGGAGAGGGAAGAAAGGGAGAGGAAAGAAAGGAAGAGAGCGAAAAAGAGTGAAGAGGGAGAAAAAAGGAAGAGAGGGAGAAAGGGAGAGGGGGAGGAAAGACAGGGAGAGGAAAGAGCAAGAGGGAAAAAGGAAAGAGAAAAAAGGGAGAGAAAAAGGGAAAGAGAAAGGTGAGAGGGAGAAGAAAGAAAAAGGGAGAGGAGAGGGAGAGAAAGGAGGGGGGAAAGAGAAAGGAAAGAATGAGGGAGGGAAAGGGAAAAAGGGAAAGGGAGAGGGAAGAGACAGAAAGAGGGAAAGAGCAAGAGGGAAGGAGGAAAGAGGGAGAAAGAAGAGACAGGAAAGAGGAAGAGAAAAAAGAGGGAGAATGAAAAAGTGAAGGAGAGAAAGAAAAAGGGAGAGAGGGAGGAAAGACGAGAGGAAAGAAAAAGGAGGGAAAGGGAGAGGGAAAGAGAAAGAAAAAGGGAGAGTGAAGGAAAGGGAAAGAGGGAGATAAAAAAGAAAGGACGAGAGAGGGGAAGAGACACAGGGAGAGGAAAACGCGAGAGAGGGAAAGAGGAAAGGGAAAAAGAAAGAGAAGAGACAGGAAAGAGAGAGGGTGAGGGGAGAGAGAGAGAGAACTCATACACAGCAGCCTCTATTTCTCTTTAATTAAACTCTTCAGTCAAGCTCCCCCCCCCTCGCGCAAACGTGGACAACTTTTGCGGCTCCCAGTGTTTTCTTTTCTCTGGGAAAAGGGTCCAAGTGGCTCTTTGAGTGTTAAAGGTTGCAGATCCCTGCTCATTTGATGGCCCGTAACCAATTTATCAAGAATTTGTATAACTAAAGATCAAAAATAAGCTAAAAATATTTATTTCATATGATAAAAAATAGACTTCTCAGAATAGCAATCTGCATATATTTTAAACAGGAATTATATTTTTCGCCTTTACGTGTTGAATTTATAATATAAATATATTTATTATTTAACATTCAATACTTTGGTGGCCACTATTGCCTCTCTTCAGATTTATATGCTCTCTATGAGAACTGTGTTTTCCAAGTAAAGCTATTTCCACATACTGTGCATTAATGCATTCTATCCCCAGTGTGGTTCCTTTCATGACAATTTAAGATGAGCTTTCCCAATATAGCTTTTTCCAGTCTATCTACTTATATGGTCACTTCCCACTGTGAATCCTTTGGTGGCAATAAGATGACTTTTGCTAATGAAACTCTTTCCACATTCCATGCATTTATTCGGTCTGTCCCCAGAATGGATGCTTTCATGAAGATTAAGATATCCTTTCCAGGTAAAGTACTTTCCACATTCCATGCATTTATACGATCTGTCCCCAGTGTGGATCCTTTTGTGACGATTAAGAGTTCCTTTCCAGGTAAAGGTCTTTCCACATTCCATGCATTTATACAGACTATCCCCAGTGTGGATCCTTTTGTGACGGTTAAGATCTCTTTTCCAGGTAAATGTCTTTCCACATTCCTTACATTTATACGGTCTGTCCCCAGTGTGGATCCTCTCATGAAGATTAAGATATCCTTTCCGGGAAAAACTCTTTCCACATTCCATGCATTTATATGGTCTCTCCCCAGTGTGGATCCTCTCATGAAGATTAAGATATCCTTTCTGGGTAAAGCTCTTTCCACATTCCATACATTTATACGGTCTGTCCCCCGTGTGGATCCTTTTGTGATGATTAAGATGTCCTTTCTGAGTAAAGGTCATTCCACATTCCATGCATTTATAAGGTCTCTCCCCAGTGTGGATCCTTTTATGACGATTAAGATCTCCTTTCTGAATAAAGCTCTTTCCACATTCCATGCATTTATACGGTCTCTCCCCTGTGTGGATCCTTTCGTGATGATTAAGATGTCCTTTCTGGTTAAAGGTCTTTCCACATTCCATGCATTTATACGGTCGCTTCCCAGTGTGGATCTTTTGGTGACAAATACGATTACTGTTTGTAATGAAACTCTTTCCACATTCCATACATTTATACGAGTGGATCTTTTGGTGACAAATAAGATGACTGTTTCTAATGAAACTCTTTCCACATTCCGTGCATTTATACGGTCTGTCCCCAGTGTGCATCCTCTCATGAAGATTAAGATTTCCTTTCTGGGTAAAGGTCTTTCCACATTCCGTGCATTTATACGGTCTGTCCCCAGTGTGGATCCTTTTGTGACGATTAAGATCTTCTTTCCGGGTAAAGGTCTTTCCACATTCCATGCATTTATACGGTCTCTCCCCAGTGTGGATCCTTTCGTGACGATTAAGATCTTCTTTCTGGTTAAAGTTCTTTCCACATTCCATGCATTTATATGGTCTGTCCCCCGTGTGGATCCTTTGGTGGCAAATAAGTTTACTTTTCCTACTGAAAGTCTTTTCATACTGCATGCAGACTTTCCTCTTTCTGCTCAGACTGGAACCCACCCCAGTTTTTACAGAGATATGTGGTTTGCATTTCCCATAAAATTTTTTGGGTGAAGTAGAAGCGAATGAGTTATTCTCCATAGTCTCTACAGGCATGCAGGGTTTTTTTAGTCTGGTTTCTGCCATAGTTAGGTAATTCAAATTCATGTTTTCTTTTTTTCTATATTTTCGTTTTCTCATTTCTTTTTGATCTTGCTGGGATAGGAAGCCATGAATACCAAGCGAAGTGGATGACTTCTCCCCTCCATTTTCTGACTCTTTTCTCTTTAGCTTTTTGGTGTCCCTCTGATGGCCAAGGATTATTTTTATTTCGTTCTTCTCTATTTCGAGTAGATTTAACCTTGCCTCCTTGTCGTTCTCATTCACAGACTCCTCATCTGCATGGAAAAAAAGACTTTGATTAGACTTTAGAAGCTCCTCCGCCTGCAAAAACATGCCAATCTGCGTTGCAGATTTAGTACAATCCATTTGTCCAGTCAGGATGTGAGATCTGCAATTTTTTATCTAGTAGTCTCCTGACTGTATAGAAAGAATGATTTGAGCCAAAGAACAGGTGTTGGTGTTGATCAGTCAATCTATTCAGTCACTTCCACGGAGTATCTAGAACATTTCTCAATTCTACAGTGAATAATGGCCTTATAGAGAATTAAAGAGCCCGGCCTTACCCAGAGCAGCCTTATTCCTAGAAAACTCCTGCACGACTTCTCTGCACAAGGCCTTCTGGCCAGAATCTAGCAGCCTCCACTCCTCATCTGTGAAGTCTATAGTCACCCCCTTAAAGGAATCAGAGCTCTAGAAAGAGAAAAAGAAAAAAGCCTCGCTGACCAAATTCCTGAGAAAACAGGACATAGTGACTAGAAACTTCTTTCCTAACCTATTTTAAATTTTATTGTTACAGTCACTTAGTGTTGACTTACTGGCTTATCCTTCATATGCTATATTTTTCTTGGTATACTTACAATACATTACAAGGAAGATAGGTGGCATAAATATTTAATAAAATAAACGCTTCTCAGGTATGTTTAATCCCAATGTTACTGTTTCAATTCATGTGTTTCATTTCTAACTATTTTAGGCACTCTTAATATTCAGAAATATTAAACTCTTTCTACAATTAAATTACACTTCTAATGCAAAGTTCCTACTTGTGAATTGTCTGGTTTGCATTTACAGCACAATCTTGAAAGCCAAATGTGAGTGGACACTGTGTTCAAGTGCACATAGACTCAGCTTTTGGTATTAAACACAGCTCCTGAATGGATGAAGCAGAAATGCTACTGTTCTCAGAAGAAACCTGCACTTACCTGGCAAGGTGGCCAGAGTTGGATCCTCCAGAAAAACAGCTCCTGAATAGAGCGGAATAGATCTCCTCTCCCTCGGAGCTCTGCTGAAATCTCCTCTGTGAACGGCTCCTGCATCAGAAGAACAAGCTAGTTCATAATCCACTTTCAGAGGACCATATCCATGTTAGTTTGCATTCCTTACTTTTCCTTCTCTACCTGTATTTCCCCAACCCAATTCAGAGACACTTCTGAGTAAATGATGAATAGGGATTGTGTTTTTATGTACATAAAATGTAAGGGTGCATTAATTAGCTTGTTTCTCTTACTATTGTGGTATATTATACAACATATTAAACATGGCTCTCTGTCAGAAGCCATTCACATAATCCAGTTGCTTCCCCTTTATCAGGTAACAGCACATCACAAAGTAAACACTGATCATAATGAAATATGTGGATACTCTCACAAAGGATACAGAGGTGTAAACGGATAAATTAATTTAGGTAACAGAAGCATTTGCCTCAAGAAGAAATCAATTCTTCAAAGGTGAGGAATTCCAGAAAAGGCTGCAGAGTCATATTTTTAATCTCCCTTATTAGAGACATGGCTAACCCTTCCTCTCCTCTTCCCGCCCCCCATGGAGCTCCCAGGATGAAGCCCACCGTCCTCCTCACCTGCCCCTTTCCCGGCTCTTCCCGCTGGGCTTGGCTGAGGAGGAAGCCTTCGGCCAGGGCCACCGCCTGCGAACAGCTCTCGGCTCCGCACTCCCTCACCCCAGCTCGCCATCTCCGCGGGCAGCAGGGCCAGCAGCTGCTCCAGCACCACCAGGTCCAGCATCTCCCCTTTGCTGCTCCTCTCCGGCCGCAGCCACTGGCGGCACAGGCGGTGCAGGCGGCTGCAAAGCTCCCGGGGCCCCTCGGCCTCCTGGCGGCAGCCGTCGAGACCGCGGAAGCGCCGGCGGTGGATCTCTGGGCTGAGGGCGGCCTCCATCCCTGGAGATCCCTGGGCCTCCATCGGGTCTCCTGCTCGAGGGCAGCCAAAAGGAGCCCGAGAGTCCCAAATGTCCCCCAGCCCCTCCGCAGCCCCTTCTCCGGTTTGCAGGAGGGCAGAAATAGGTCTCCGCTCACTCGGCCTTTACCCGCCTGAGGAGAGCAACGGCAAATTCTTCCAGCAATTTCCTGAGCGCTCCAGGCACGCTGGCTGAGGAATTCTGGGAATTGAAGTCCAGAAGTCAAAAGGGCCAAGTCTGAAGACCCTGCTCAACAAGGAGCCAGAATGATAGATATGTGCTTCCTAGAGTGGACCTGGTAGGAAGAGAATCAAAGGGAATTTTCCTTTTCCGGCCTCCTCGAATGCCTACGTCACAGCTGTTCTTTTTCGGAGTGGGGCGGAGTTCGCTGAAAGGCGGGCGGCGGAAGCAGAGTGGGACGGACGGATGATCTCGGCGTCGCCCCCCTTCATCAGCCGCTTATTCCTGACCAGGTGCTGCCCCCTGCGGGAATGTCGGGGAGCCTCCGCTGAAAGGAACAAGCTAATACAAATTCTTAATTCCATATAACAGCTAAATAGACTTCTCAGAGTAGCAATTTGCATGTTTTACACAGGAATTATACTTTTTTCCTTTAGGTTTTGAATTTACAATATCAAAATATTTATGATTTATTATTGAACATCCATCTGTGGCGGCAGGTTTATGAGTTGGGATTTCCTTTGTAATATTTCATTGTAATATTTATTTTTCTTCGAAGGAAATTACCCGCTTCTTTCAGGGTTTGTGGCTAGCTATCTCTGAGTTCTTTGAAAATCAAATCATTGTGCTCACTTTAAATCTCCTGCTAAATCACTAGAAGTGAACTCAGAATAAAAAGTTGCAAAGCTGGTTCTTATACCCACCCCTTAATTTAATAATTTGTTCTATGAGGCTTTTCTCTGTCTGATCAAGCATTACAGGCAGTTTGTAAATAGGAAACAAAAACCGCTTACTTCCAGTCCCGACTCAACTCTGGCTGTTACAATGGGGTTTGGGAGATAAATTCCTGCGAAGAGGGAAGCCACCTGCAAAATTAAGCATTTGTACAGTAGTTTGATTGTTCCTTTCATGAATTTTTATTTTTATTATTTCAGAGGTATTATTTTATTGCTATATATATTTGTATTTTTTAATAGTAATGATGATGATGAAAATGATGATGAAATTGGAAGGGACCTTGGAGTCATCTAGTCCAACCCTCTGCTCAGGCTAGAAACCCTATACCATTTCAGACAATCGGCTGTCCAGTCTCTTCCTAATAACTTCCATTGTTGGAGCATTCGCTGCTTAATTGTTCTAACAGTCAGGAAGTTTCTGCTTAGTTGTAGGTTAGTTCTCTCTTTGATTAGTTTCTATCCATTGCTTCTTGTCCTGCCTTCAGGCGCTTTGGAGAATAGCTTGATTCTTCTTTGTGACAGCCCGAGATATTGGAACATGGCTATCATGTCCCCTCCCCCCCAGTATTGGTGTTCGGGGCACTTTAAGAGGACTGCAGCACAGTGAAAGTTCTGGACCAATGGGACGACTGTCACTGCATTATAGTTGGGGAGGGGTAATCTATCTGTAAAACCCCGTAGTAGGACAGGAAGAGTGAAGCTAGGAGGGCAATTCTGACTCTTTCCTTGTTCCAGGACCAAGGAGACTGGAAGGGCCCCTTGCTTCTGGCTCTCTGACCAGGACATCCCAGATTCAGAGGGCAGTTTGTGGAGACCAGGTACCTTCTTGGGCCTTTCTCTCTTGGATGCCTTTCTTGGCTCTGTCAGGGGCCAAAGAGGGAATCCTTTCTGGGAAATACGCCTGCTGCACTGGGAGTTGGGGGAGGGGTTTGGCTGCCGGTGACACCTTTTCCCTGGTGTTTGTCTGGTATGCACTCTTCCCCATCTCCCAAAGTCATTTCCACATACCATTACCCCATCCCTATCCGTGTTCCATAGAAGTCTTTTCTCATTGATTCTTTGTAAGGAGGAGAAACGGAGGCATATAAGACTTTAACAATAAGGCTTGCTATATTCACAATGAGCATGAATACTTTGAAGAACATCAGCTGAAATGGAAAAAGCGCCTCAACTGATTTCTGCAGTAGAAGAAAGAATGAGAAGGTAGAGAATGAATTGTGGCCAATGCTCCAATCTCTCTGGAGCTTCTTACACACCTCAGGGAGGTTGGAGATTAACATAGGCTTGACTTTCATGAATCATCCCAGAGAGGAAATGGAATCATTTGCCTCAAGAAGAAAGGCATCATCTATGTTGAATTGGAGTAAGGATTTTGGTCTTAATTTTGATCTGCATATATGGCAAGAACTATGGGCAAGAAACAAGAAGCTTACTTTGGCCACCTCTTACAAAGAGAACCTTTACAAAATGTTTTATAGATGGCATCTCCCACCCACAAGATTGTCTAAAATGTATACCAATGTCTCCCCGAAATGTTGGAAATGTAATTTGAAAAGTGGAACTTACTATCATATGTGGTGGGAATGCACGCGAGCTTGTGATTTTTGGAACAGGATTAAAATATGGTTGGAAGAAATATTAGAGCAAGCGGTAGAACCAAAACCAGAACTCTTTCTATTAGGTTTAACTACACAAAAACATGATAAAGGCGTATTTTATTTAATGCTACACATTTTAACGGCCTCCAGGCTGGTTTTTGCTCAAAATTGGAGGAACAAGGGAACCCCAACGGAAGAAGAGATCCTGCATAAAATTCTAATATGTGCTGAGATAGACAGGCTTACAATGATTATGAAAGACAAAACGGAACACGAATACTTCGAAATCTGGGGCAAATTTTACCGCTGGTATGAATTAAGAACTGCTCGGACCTCAAACTAATGGTAGAATTAAAAGATATACATAACTGTACATATAATTGTATATATAATTGTATTGTATAAAAGATGAGGTTTATATAGAGGTTAAGAACAATGTATAAAATTTTTGTACTATGATAGGAACTGATAGGAAAATTTACTCTGGAATGTCAGGTTTGTCCATTGTTGTTTTAATTGTATTATGAATAAAAATTTGTAAAAAAAAGAAGAAGAAGAAGAAAGGCATCATCCTGTGATAAGTAAGGTCATTGGTTCACTATCAATTTCCAAATTCCAGTGCTTATACTTTTCCTCCTGTACAGCTATATGGATGGTGCCAGGTCTGCCGCCATTGAAATCCTAAGAAAGAAAACCCGACTTTGCAAAAGCAAAGCAAGCGCTGAGTAAAATCTGCCTGAAAAATACACATTGAAAGTCATTCCAAATCCTTCCTCCCCCCCCTCCCCCGGGTCCAGCTCAGACAGATGAATCAACATCCAATGTCATATTATGAGAAACCATCTCCTGTGGATGTTGTATGCCTCCGGAGGCCCAGGACGGTTGGCCTTGGTAAAGTCTAAACAACTCCACTCCGTTAATAGATAGCAATCCTCCCATTTCTCATGGGAACATTTCAAACCGGCTCACTTCCCCACCCCGAATGCCAACCCCCCCCCCCAGTCCCGTTTCTATGGCAGCTGAGGGCAAGCAAGTGGGAGATCCAGCTGACTGACAGTATATAAGATTCCAGTACACACCTATGATCTTTGCACATTCCACGAATAAGATCCCCGCCATGTCTGGATCCTTGGATGAGGATGAAGTTGACTGTTGAGAATAAAGCTCAATCCACGGATTTCACTTAGTTTTCCTGTGTGGATTGTTTTATAAGAAGTAAGCATACTCAGTGAAGGTTGCCCCACTTTTTGTGTATTTCTAATTTTCTTCTGTGTGGGTCCTTCTGTGACAATTAAAAGTGCTGTAGTCATTAAAGCTCTTTTCACACTTTGTGCATTTATATGTTGCCTTACCTGTATTGCTCTATAATAATTATTATTATAATAATAACAATAATTGATTTGGAAGGGACCTTGGAGGTCTTCAAGTCCAACCCCCTGCTCAGGCAGGAAACTCTGTATCATTTCAGACAAATGGTTGTCCAGTCTCTTCCTAAAAACTTCCAGTGTTGGAACATTCACAGCTTCTGGAGGCAGGCTGTTCCACTGATTAATAATTCTAACTGTCAGAAAAATTCTTAGTTCTAGGTTGCCTCTCTGATTAGTTTCCATCCTTTGCTTCTTGTCCTGCCTTCAGGCGCCTTGGAAATAGCTTGACTCCCTCTTCTTTGTGGCAACCCCTGAGATATTGGAACACTGCTATCATGTCACCTTTAGTCCTTCTCTTCATTAAATAGACATACCCAATTCCAGCAACCGTTCTTTATGTTTTTGGCTTTTTTGGCAGCTGCAGCACATTGCTGGCTCAAGTTTAAATGATTGTCCACTAGGACTCCGAGATCCCTCTTACAGTTACTACTGTTGAGCAAGGTACCACTTATACTGTACCTGTGCATTTGGTTTTTCTTGCCTAAATGTAGAACCTTACTTTTTTCACCATTGAATTTCATTTTGTTAGATAGCACCCAATGTTCAAGTCTGTCAAGATCCTTCTGTATCCTAAGCCTATCTTCTGGAGTATTGGCTATTCCTGCCAGCTTGGTGTCATCTGCAAATTTGATGAGTTTCCCATCTATCCCCTCATCCAAATCATTGATGAAGATGTTGAAGAGGCCTGGGGCACCCCACTACACACTTCCCTCCATGTAGATGTAGTTCTTTTTTTTTATTAAATTTTTTTTTATTTTTTAAACATACAATCATTTATAAAAATACAATAAAATTTTAAAGTAGAAAAAACAAACAAACAAACAAAAAGAAACAAACAAACAAAAAAAACCCTACCCTCCCTCCCACCCCCAACCCCCCTCCCTTCACTTCCCAGAGCAGAATACAGGGTTAATAATAAAAAAAAATTATAATAATTAAGAAAAAAGAAAAGAAAAAAGAAAAAAATATCATAATTAACCTTTAACTCCATAACCTATAAAACCATTCTCTATAATATTTAAAATTCATTCATAAAATAAATGAAACTTTTTAATTCCATACTTTTTCTGAATATAATCTATCCACCTTCCCCATACAATAATATATCTTTCTGGTGTATGATCCTTTAAATAAGCAGAAATTTTTGCCATTTCTGCAAAACTAGATACTTTAAATATCCATTCTTCTAAAGTAGGCAAGGAATCTTTATTCCAATATAAACCTACTAGTAACCTTGCTGCAGTTAATAAATTCAACATCAAAGTAGTTTCTTTTTCATTTAAGTCAACAAAAATACCAAGTAAAAATAGTTGAGAAGTAAACTTTATCTTTTTTCTAAAAATCTTTTGAATGTTCCACCAAATCATAATCCAAAAAGCCTTTACTTTTTTACAATTCCACCAAATATGAAAGTATGTCGCATCATTGTTGCCACATCTCCAACATTTGGGCTGTATATTGGAATACATACAAGATAATTTTTTAGGATCTAAGTGCCATCTATAAAACATTTTATAAAAAATTTCTCTCAAATTTTGAGCTTGTGTAAATTTAACATTTCTTATCCAAATTGTCTCCCATAAATCCAATGAGATCGGCTCCTGTATATTCTGAGCCCATTTAATCATACAGTCTTTAACCAATTCTGTTTCCGAATCTAACTCTAATAAAAAATTGTATATTCTTTTTATATGAGCCGGACTTTGGTTTTTAATCTGAATAACCAATTGTCTATCTTCTAGTGTTATTCCCTCTTTCTTGTCTACAGTCCATCTATACATTATTTGTAAATATTGAAACCATGACTGTAGAATATTTTGCTGCCTTAGTACATCTAGGGATTTCAAATGCCAATTCGAACCAGAACAAATTAACAATTCTTTATACGAGATTTTGTCAAAATTTGTCCCCTTAGAAGTTCCCTCAATTGCATGTCTGGGAATCCCCCAGATAGGTATTTTATAATTTAATCTATAATAATACTTCTTCCAAACACGAAGTAAGGCATTCCTCAAAATATGTGATTTAAAAGTCCGATCAACTTTCTTATTAAAAATTAAATTTGCATGCCAACCATATATTAGATCCCAACCTTCCAAAAAAAGAATATCCATATTTGTTAAATTAAGCCAATCACTTAACCAAGTTAGGGCGGCTGCATCATAATATAATTTCAAATTAGGTGCCTTAAGTCCCCCTCTTTCTCGAGCATCCTTTAATATCTTAAATTTAACCCTTGGTTTCTTCCCGGCCCATATAAAATTATTGATACCCTTTTGCCATTCCTCCAAATTTGCCTCTTTTTTAAGAATAGGTATCATCTGAAACAAAAAAAAGAAACTTTGGTAGAACATGTAGCTGTAAACATGTAGATGTAGTTCCATTGAGGACCACACGCTGAGTACAGCTGGTCAGCCAGCTATGAATCCATCTGGTGGTGATGATGCCTAACCTACATTTTTCTATCTTATCAAGTAGTAGTGATCTACTTTATCAAATGCCTTACTGAAGTCCAAGTAAATTATATCCACAGCATTCCTCTGGTCCACTAATTTTGTCACTTGGTCAAAGAATGCAATAAGATTTGTCTGGCATGGTCTGTTTTTGACAAACCCATGTTGGCTTTTGGTAATGACTGTTTGCTTCTAGGCGTTTGCTGATTCGTTGCTTGATTATCTTTTCCAAAATCTTCCCAGGTATTGAGATCAGGCTGATAGGTCTGTAGTTTCCTGGATCCATTTTTTTTTTCCTTTTTTTGAAGATGGGAACTACATCAGCTCTTTTCCAGTTCTCTGGAAGTTCCCCAGTGGGAATAATGTAATGGTTCTGAGATCACATCTGCCAGTTCCTTCAGAACCTTGGGATATAATTTATCTAGTCCTGGTGAACTGAACTGAACTCATCTGGAGTAGACAGGTGCTCACCATTTTCTTGCCCATCTTAACTTGTTTTTCTAATCTGTTTTTTTACGGTACTCTTTTTGTTAGGTTAGACTGTTTTTTCCCTTTGGGTAAAGAAGGATGCAAAACAAACAAACAAAAAAAAAAAACACAAGTTAAGTAGTTCTACTTTCTCCCCATTGCTTTTTATGATAAGTAAAACTTCCTTTCCAAGTAAAGTTCTTTCCACATTCCGGGCACGTATATATTTATGCAAGCGGTCTCCAAACTTTTTGGGCTCCATAGACTTGCAGCGATGGTGGTTTCTCGGAGGGGATGGTTTTGCACACACAACCTAATCCCCTGCATACGCAAATGAAGCTTCACAAGTTTGCCCACCACTTGCATGGCCCGGTTCTCAACAACAGGGCTTTTCAACCAGTGGTACGGGTACCACCTGTGGTACATTGGCACCTGACCATCCTAGAAAAGTGGTAGCGGGGGAGGGGAATGAGCTGAACCAGTGGCAGCACCGCAGAAACCTGAGCGAGAGATGGCTGGAGCTTCAGGGCTGTCAGGGCTCAGCGGAAGTGCCAGGATCAGTACCACTTTCCAGATGATCGGCGCTTCTTCGGGGCTGTCAGGGCTCAGTGGAAACGCCAGGATCAGCACAAGGCTCCAGCTGGAGCTTGGCGCTGATCCTGGTGCTTCTGCTGAGCCCTGAAGCGCCAATCAGCTGGAAAGCAGCACTGATCCTGGCGCTTCTGCTGAGCTCAGAAGAAGCGCCAATCAGCTGGAATGTTGCAGCATCTCCAGGGTCTTGTGATTTACATTCAGATGCTTGGCAACTGATTCATATTTATGACGGTTACAGTGTCACAGGGTCATGTGAAGTGAGCAAAACCTGCTGCAACCACCCAGCAGACGGGGGGGGGGAGGGGGAATAAAAACCCCACCCCTGCTGCCAGTCCTCAACAGAAATGCTCACAAAAATGAAAACCTCGGACAGGAGGAAGAGCGCCGCCGGGCGGGCGGGCAGGTGTCTTGCTCGGCTGTGGCTTGGGCGGCACTTTTTTCAGTGCCACTGTAACTTTATAACAGTCACTAAGTGAACAGTTGTAAGTCGAGGACTACCTGTACTTTTATCACCTTTTTTGGGGGGGGGTCATCAAGTTTTTGACACCTTGCTAGGCGACTGGTGGTACTCGGATGCTGCCATATCCTAAAGGTGGTACAATGGGTGAAAAGGTTGAAAAGCCCTGCTCTAGAGAGTCCTTTATTTATCTGAACCAATGGACCAGCAAACAGCCCTCCAGGGACTGGTAAGACTACCCTGAAGGCAGCCACCCTCAGTCCCCCAAACAACAATCCCTATAGTACAGTGGTTCTCAACCTTTTTAATGCCGCGACCCCCAACTGGTCGTAAGTCGAGGACTACTCAGCCGGTCGTAAGTCGAGGACTACTCAGCCGGTCGTAAGTCGAGGACTACTCAACTGGTGCAGCACCGTTTGCAGACTGGGACTTTTGGCAGGCTCAGCAGGGCAGAGACAGCCTGGACAATTCCTATTGGCTTTTGAAAGCCAATAGAATTACACTCTATTCAAGAGAGTCGATTCTATTGGCTTTCAAAAGCCAATAGAATAAAAGGGAGTAGCACAGCTAAGGCAAGGGGGGAAAAATGGCGGACTGCATTGTTTGGCGACCCCCGTGAAATGGTCGTTCGACCCCAAATGGGGTCCTGACCCACAGGTTGAGAACCACTGCTATAGTACAAATAAAGTCCCCAGAGTAGGAACACATTCAACAAGGCAAGGTTTAGGGTTCCAAGTCCAGTCCACAAGGCAGAGTCCAGGTACAAGTCAATGGCAGTCCTCCGGGCAAAGAAAAGGTCCAAGGCAAGAAGCAGTTCCACGGGCAGAGCGAAGCAAAGGCCAAAAGCAGTCCACAAAACAAGGGCAAGGTCGAAGACAAAAGGCAAACAGCAGTCTTCAAGGCAAGGCAAGGCAAGGCAAAGCAAACAGCAACAGGCACGAGTCAAAGCAGGGGGAATGTAAGCCAAAGCAGACAATTGTTCCTGGCAAAGACTAACTCCCCATAGCTTCTCCTTAAATCAGTCCACTCCAGGGGTTCCTTGTGAGTAGGGGTGGGGCGATCTTCTCTTGAGTAGCCTTGCAGCTTCTTTGGGCTTGCCTGCGCTCTACTCTCCTTGCCCTTGGATCAGTGGAGAAGGCAGCTGTTCCTCATCAGAGATTTGCTGCCTATCAGCACCACTACCAGCCAGCAGCCGATCCTCCTGTGTCTTTGCAGACAGGCAGCTCTCCGTCTTGTTGATCACCTCCTCCAGTGCCTGAGGGGCCTGGGACAGCCCCTGGCCCCTCCAAATATACCAAAGGAGATGTGTCATTCCTGTCGGACAGTCCCAGTTCCAAGTCCTCCTCCTCCGAACTAGACTCCGATGGGGCCATGACACTCTCCCCTGTGTGGATACTTACATGACGATTAAGATGTCCTTTCCGGGTATAGCTCTTTCCACACACCTTGCATTTATACGGTCTCTCCCCTGTGTGGATCCTTTGGTGGCGATTAAATTTACCCTGGCTAATTAAGCTCATTCCACATTCCGTGCATTTATATGGCCTCTCTCCCGTGTGGATCCTGCGGTGAAGAATAAGGGCACTTTTGATAATGAAGCTCTTTCCACACTCTAGGCATTTGTGTGGTTTCTCCACTGTGTGGTTCCTTTGGTGGCGACTAAAACTACTTTTGATACCAAAGCTCTTTCCACACTCCAAGCATTGATATGGTTTCTCCCCAGTGTGGATCCTTTCATGAAGATCAAACTGGTCTTTCCGGATAAAGGCCTTTCCACATTCCAAGCATTTATATGGTCTCTCCCCAGTATGGATTTTTTTATGAAGATTAAGATGTCCTTTTTGGGTGAAGGTCTTTTTACAATACTGACATTTATGTGATGTCTCCCCAGTGTGGAAATTAAGATTACTTTTGCTACTGAAACTCTTTCCACCCTGCATGCACACTTCCCTTGTTATGCTCAGACTGGAATCCCCTCCAGATTTTACAGAGGTATGTGATCTGAGTTTCCTGTACAGTTTCTTTGGTGAAGTAGGAATGACAGAATTATTCTCCATAGTGTCTAGAGGCATGCAGTTTTTCTTTAGTCTGGTTTCTGCCATATTGATGTAATTCAAAGTCATGTTTTCTTTTTTGCTATATTGTTCTTTTCTCTTTTCTTTCTGTTCTTGCTGGGACAGGAAGCCACAAGCATCAACAGGAAGAGATGTGGATGACTTCTCTCCTCCATCTTCTAAATGGCTTCCCTCTTGCCTTTTGGTACCAAATATCACTTCACTCTTCTCTGTTTGGAGTAGATTTAACCTTGCCTGCTTGTTGTTCTCATTCACAGACACATCATCTGTTTTGAAAAAAAAAAAGAAAATTAACATTCTGTTTAGAATTTAAAAGGGTGAGGCAGAAGGTGTTTCCTCCCTCAAAAACATGCCAATCTGCATTCCAGGTTTGGTACAATCCACTTGTCTAGCCAGGATTTGATATCTGCAAATTGTTATCTGGGAGACTGATGGGATGCAAGTTTTTCAGCCAAGAAACATATTAAGTTGTTGATCAGTCAATCTGCTCAGGCACTTCCGTGGACTATCTAGGAAACTTGCCAAATCTTTGGTGAGTATTTCTGCCACGGCCTTATAGAGAGATGAGCAGCCTGGCCTTACCCAGAGCAGCCATATTCGTAGAAAACTCCTGCATGACTTCCTTGCACAAGGCCTTCTGGCCATGATCTAGCAGCCTCCACTCTTCCTCCGTGAAGTCCACAGTCACCTCCTCAAAGGGATCAGAGCTCTAGAAAGAGAAAAAAAACCTGTTCTTTAGCAGATAATCCCAGGAAACAGTTGTAAGTTTTCTCTCTTACTGCACGCCATAGTAAACAGACATTGGCAAGAGACCAGATGGACATTTTCATTCAGGACTGTTAAAGAGTTTACAGCTTTCCAGTGCAAAAATAAGCCCCCAAAATAAGCATACATTTAAAATGAGCAGGAGGCATAGTTTAGAAAAACTTTTATCTATAAAATATATATAAACATGATACATACAGTTTCATTCATCTCTGGGGAACATCAACAACTCTTAACTTGGAGATCAGGAAAAAAAACAATAGAGAGAAGACTAAGACACACCCAGACCTAGACTGGATCACATGCCTCACACAGCCAATATTGTGTCTTAATCAAAAACAGTTCTCATTGGTTGTGAAAAGAATAAAGTATTATTCAGAAATTTCTAATGAGTCTATAAAGCAGTGATTCTCAACCTGTGGGTCGGGACCCCATTTGGGGTCGAACGACCATTTCACGGGGGTCGCCAAACAATGCAGTCCGCCATTTTTTCCCCCCTTTTCCTTAGCTGTGCTACTCCCTTTTATTCTATTGGCTTTTGAAAGCCAATAGAAGAGACTCTCTTGAATAGAGTCTAATTCTATTGGCTTTCCAAAGCCCATAGGAATGGTCCAGGCTGTCTCTGCCCTGCTGAGCCCGCCAAAAGTCCCATTCTGCAAACGGTGCTGCACCAGTTGAGTAGTCCTCGACTTACGACCGGTTGAGTAGTCCTCGACTTACGACCGGTTGGGGGTTGCGGCATTAAAAAGGTTGAGAACCACTGTTATAAAGGTTGTCAGAAGAAGCAGAAGCCAACTAAAGATCAGAAATAATAATATATAATGTTGACAGGTACAAATGTGAAAAGTAGAAGTCGCTAGTTAACTGAAATTGTAAGCAGAGGAAATATCGGAATAACTATAGAAGCCGAGCTCTGCTAACAGAAAATTAGAAAGATAGGATATGAACAAAGGGTCTTCCTGGAACATAGGAAGGGATAGTGGTTTTAGGCAGTCCGAAGTAGGTATTGGATGATTAGATAAGGGGTATTGAATGCGACAGGAGAGGGGGGAATTTGCGTGAGGGGTAGGATATAAAAATGTGTCAAACAGCTTTTTAAGGTGTGGCTGAACTCCTGTGTGTGTTTCAGTCCACCAAGCTTTTGCAAACACTTTATTTTGAATAAAACTTTGCTGCTGGAAGTCCAAGTGAGTTTGTTTGTTTTGGGATCTTGAGCCCACGTCCCAAACAGTTGGTTTGTTGCTATGGCTATTCCAGTTCATAAAACTTCTTACACAGTGACAAGGACATATTCATGTCTTTATGTTCACGTAATCCTTGGAGCTGGGAAGCAGTAGCTGCAACAAATCAAGGCTTTGGTGCTTTCAGGTTGTAGAATGCAACACAGCCAGGCTTGGGGAGCTTGCCACTGGGCTGCAATGACTCAGGAAGGAAGTTTGGGGCAGCAAAATCCCCTAGACCAGTGGTTCTCAACCTTTTTAATGCCGTAACCCCCAACCGGTCATAAGTCGAGGACTACTCAACCAGTCGTAAGTCAAGGACTACTCAACTGGTGCAGCACCGTTTGCAGAATGGGACTTTTGGCGGGCTCAGCAGGGCAGAGACAGCCTGGACAATTCCTATTGGCTTTTGAAAGCCAATAGAATTAGACTCTATTCAAGAGAGTCTATTCTATTGACTTTCAAAAGCCAATAGAATAAAAGGGAGTAGCACAGCTAAGGAAAAGGGGAAAAAATGGCGGACTGCGTTGTTTGGCGACCCCCGTGAAATGGTCATTCGACCCCAAATGGGGTCCCGACCCACAGGTTAAGAACCACTGCCCTAGGCTCACCTGTGCTGCTGACCAAATTCCTTAGGAACTTCTTTCCTATGCTATTTCAAAATATTAGCAATGTCCTTGAAATCCCAAGTCACTTGACCAACAGTTTTATTGTTACAGCCACTTTGTGTTGCTTTACTCGTTTATCCTTAATATGGTTTATTTTTGCTGGTATACTTTCAGTCACCTTACAAGGGAGATGGGTGGCATAAAAATGTAATTAAAATAAACAAACAATACTTCTCAAGTATGTTTAATCCCATTGTTATTGTTTCAATTCATGGCTTTTATTTCTACCTCATTTAGGCACTCTTCTGAATAGTATTAAGTAGTATTAATACTACCTAATACTAATTCTTTCTACAAATAAATTACATTTCTAATACAAGGTTCCCTGCCTGTGAATTGTCTCTTGTTTGAATCTCCAGAACCATCTTGAAAGCTGAGTATGACTCAGCAGGAGCTTCTTGGGGGGGGGGGGGGACACTTTGTTCAGATGCACACAGACTCAGCATTTAGTGGTTAAAGCAGCTCATGAATGGACAGAGCTGGAACTCTTCTGCTCTCAGAAGAAATCTGCTCTTACCTGCCAAGGTGGCCCAAGTTGAATCCTTCTGAAAAGCAGCTCCTGAGAAGGGCTGGGTTGATCTCCTCTTCTCTGTAGCTCTGCTGAGATCTTCCTTGTGAATGGCTCCTGTACATAATAATAATAATAATAATAATAATAATAATAATAGTGATGATGATGATGATGATGATGGAAGGGACCTTGGAAGTCATCTAGTCCAACCCCACTGCTCAGGCAGGAAACCCTATACCAGTGATGGCGAACATTTTAGAGACCAAGTGCCCAAACTGCAACCCAAAACCCACTTATGCATTGTCAGGTGCCGGGTGGGCATGGCCCATTGGATGTGGTTTGCCAATTGGGTAGGCATGGCCCATTGGGTGGGCGTGGCTGCGGTTGTAATGGCACACTGGGTGGGACTAAAAAGTTCAATTCCAACTTTGCACGGTCTGTTTTTTTCCCGTGAGAAGTTAAATTCAATTGATTGATTGAAACTTTTATTTTTTGAACACGGCGGCAGAAGCCTAAAGCGAAATGGTTTTATAAAACCCAGCTGAAAGCCTAGGACTGGGACGACGGCGCACGTGCCCAAAAAGAGGTTCGCCACCACGGCCCTATACCATTTCAGAAAAATGGCTGTCCACTCTCTTCTTAAACACTTCCAGTGTTGGAGCATTCACTGCTTCTGGAGGCAGGTTGTTCCACTGGTTGATTGTTCTAATTGTCAGGAAATTTCTCAGTTCTAGGTTGCTTTTCTCTTTGATCAGTTTCCATCTGTTGCTTCTTGTCCTAACTTCAGGCGCTTTGGAGAATAGCTTGACTCCCTCTTCTTTGTGGCAACCCCTGAGATATTGGAACACTGCTATCATGTCCCCCCTCGTCCTTCTCTTCATTAAATTAGACATACCCAATTCCAGCAACCGTTCCTTATATGTTTTAGCCTCCAGACCTCTAATCATCTTTGTTGTTCTTCTCTGTACTCTAGAGTCTCAACATCGTTTTTACATCGTGGTGACCAAAACTGGATAGTGTGGCCTTACCAAGGCATTGTAAAGTGGTATTAATACTACACGTGATCTTGATTCTATCCCTCTGTTAATGCAGCCTAGCACTGTGTTGGCTTTTTGGGCAGCTGCAGCACACTGCTGGCTCATATCTAAGTGATTGTCCATTAGGACTCTGAGATCCCTCTCACAGTTGCTACTATCGAGCAAGATATCACCTATACTATACATGTACATTTGGTTTTTCTTGCCTAAATGTAGAACTGTAGAACTTTACCTGTCAAAACAGCCTGGTTTATCATCTACTTTGGATTGGAATCATGTTAGTTCACTTGCCTTTCCTTTTCTTTCTCTTCCTGTATCTTCCCAACCCATCAATATGAGAGAACACAGACTCTACTTTGTACTGGCTGATGTTTTGGGGTAAATGATGAACAGTTGGGATTTAGGACAGCAAACTGTTATGTTCATAAAATGTAAGCATGTATTAATTTGCTCCTTTCTTTCACTATTGTGGTATTATAGGGCTTATATAAAGATGGCTCTGTACTAGAGGCAATAGCACTTAGACTCACATATCTCTTCATAGTGTTTTACAGCCCACTCTACGAGGTTTAGACAGAGAGTCAGCATATTGACTCCAACAATCTGGGTCCTCATTTTACTGACCTAGGAAGGATGGAAGGCTGAGTCAACCTTGAGTAGGTCATGTGGAAAATAGTAAAGTGTTTTTGCATTAATGTTTGACGCCTTTTAGTAAGATGTACGTGACCAAGAGCAGTGGAAAGAGCAAAGGCTAAGTAACAGGAAACGTCTGTAGTCCTTAGAACAGATAGCTTAACCACATCAGCTTACAGGAAAGCACATATGGTAAAGATATCTTTCGCTTATCGTACCATCTTCTATGTTAACAAATAACAGGAAATAGACTGGTGGTTCTGTCAAGCTTCATGCACTCACTACTAAGAAGAAACTAACCTAACAAAGGACTAAATAAATAAAGGGAAGGGATGCTGGATAGAAGGGTGGTAGGAGATGTTGCTCCCAGCAATCTGGATCCTCATTTTACCAACCTGGTAAGGATGAAAGGCTGAGTCAAACTTCAGCCAGTCATGATCCTTAGCCTGCAATACTGCATTCTAACCATAGCAATAGAACTGCCACCAGGGCTCATCCAAATGCTTCCCCTTATCTAGATTTTGGGGACAGCAGATCACAACATAAACCCTGATTATTATGAGACAGGTAGATAACTTCTCGAAGGATACAGAGATATAAAGGAAGAGAAAGGTCAATTTAGGAAACAAGAAATCGGTTCTCCAAATATGAGGAATTCCTGAAAAGGCTGCAGAGACAGGTTCTGAATCTGACTTCTTGCAAACATGGCTAGATTGCTGATTCCTACCGCCACCACCCTGCAGCTCCCAAGATGAAACCCACCGCCCTCCTCACCTGCTCCTTTCCCGGCTCTTCCCGCTGGGCTTGGCTGAGGAGGAAGCCTTCGGCCAGGGCCACCGCCTGCGAACAGCTCTCGGCTCCGCACTCCCTCACCCAGCTCGCCATCTCCGCGGGCAGCAGGGCCAGCAGCTGCTCCAGCACCACCAGGTCCAGCATCTCCCCTTTGCTGCTCCTCTCCGGCCGCAGCCACTGGCGGCACAGGCGGTGCAGGCGGCTGCAAAGCTGCCGGGGACCCTGGGACTCCTGGCGGCAGCCGTCGAGACCGCGGAAGCGCCGGCGCCTGGACTTCATTGTGTCTCCTACTCCAGAGTAGGCAAAAGAAGCCCAAGACAATCCGAGGGGCTCCCCCAGCCTCTCCGCACCGCCCTTCTCCGCTTGCCAGGAAGGGAGAAATGGGACTCGGCTGCTTTGACGTTCTGCGCCCGAGAAAAGAAACTGTGAATCGCTTCCGCCAGAATTTCCTGCCCGTTTCCGGGTCCACATGTGGCAACAAAGAGTCCGAACGATAGATACGCGCTATCTAGAGTGGTCCCAGTAAGAAGAAAACGAAAGGAGAGCTTCTTCTTCCGGCCTGTCGGGAGGTCTGCGTCTCTGCTCTTCTTCTTGGGCAGCGGGGGGGGGGGGTCGGCTTCGCTGGAAGGCTGGCTGCAGTAGCAGAGGCTGTGGTGGCGATGCGTAGAAAAAAGGGCAGGGAGGGATCGATGATCTCGAGGTCTCCCCTCTAAATCAGATGCCTGCATCTCCCCTAGATCCTGCGCCGTACAGGAAAGCCGGGGAGAGCCTCCGCTCAAAGACGGGGATTTTTCTATGTCTCTGAATCCAGGTGAAGATGAAGGGATTGGGAGCTAAACATCGAAAGGCTCCTGGTAGCACCTTTTCCAATTAATACATCTCCTTACAAAACAAGAGCCTCGTGAGTGCATGGAGCGTCCAGAGTGATGTGGGATTTGGGGAGGGGGATTATAGGGGAAGTCAGGTTGGATTTGGGGATGCAAACGAAGGGAAGCCTTGCCCCCCCCTCCCCCCTCCCCCCCTCAATAGAAATAGAAAAGGATTAGGATTAGGATTAGGAAAGGAATAGCATAGCATAGCATAGCATATAGCATAGCATATAGCATAGCATAGCATATAGCAGCTACAGTGTTTCTCAACCTTGACAATTTTAAGGCATGTGGACTTCAACTCCCAGAATTCCACAGCCAGCAACTCTGGCTGTGGAATTCTGGGAGTTGAAGTCCACATGCCTTAAAATTGTCAAGGTTGAAAAACACTGAATAGCATATAGCATCGCATCGCATCGCATAGCATCCCATAGCATAGCATCCCCTTGGCAGGAAACCCTATACCATTTCAGACAAATGGCTGTCCCGTCTCTTCTTAAAAACTTTTAGTGTTGGAGCATTCACCGCTTCTGGAGGCAGGTTGTTTCAATGGCTAATTGTTCTGACTGTCAGGAAATTTCTCCTTAGTTCTAGGTTGCTTCTCTCCTTTGATTACAGGTAGCTTGGGAATCTTCTATGGAAGTAAAGGATGGGGCTTTGTATGAGGAAGAAGGGCTGGATAGGAAGAAGAAATATTGGAATTATTGAGAATTCTGGTGAGAATAGAATAGAATAACTATTGTCACTTTGAATGTACACTAATTGGCATACATTAAAATGAAATTTTTTTGCAAACAGCTCTCAAAGGGTCACCACCTCCAATATACACAACATAAATATGACAAAAATAAATACAGAATTATGCATATACCCACATATATGACACAGAGAAACAACACAGTGTAGTTTGGATTATGTATACAAGGGACTTCAAGAGGTAATCAGAGAAAACATGCTGTCGACAGATTCCAATGGCAGCAGAAAATATAAGACATAGACCAGGTCAGTGGATGGTCTTCCTAGGTACAGACAGTCCTCAACTTACAACAGTTCATTTAATGGCCGTTCAAAGTTACAACAGTACTAAAATGTGAGTTATAACCGTTTTTCACACTTGTGCCCATAGCACACTTGTGCCCATGGTCACGTGGTCAAAATTCAAATGCTTGGCAAACTAACACATATTTTTGATAGTTATAGTGTCCCAGGTTCATCTGATCCTCTTTTTGCGACCTTCTGACAAGCAAAGTCAACTTCACAGCCACGTTACTCAGTTGACAGCTGCAGGGATTCACTTAACAACTGTGGCAAGAAAGGTCGTAAAATGGGGCAAAACTCACTTAATAACTGTCTCACTTAGCAAAATAAATTTTGGGCTCAGTTGTGGTCGTAGGTTGAGGACTCCCTGTGTTCTTGGACTAATTCCCCTGCTTGTTATTTTCTCGATAATGTTGGGAGTGATAGAAGTCCACAGCTTTGAGAGGGACACAAGTGGCCCATCCCAGTTCTACTCTGCTGCAGGCCACTTGGTCCCTGCTCCGAAAACTTTCTCAGAAGCCAGATTGGGCTTCTCAGATGGGACGCCCAAGATTGGGGAGCTGTAATAAATGTACCTGGGAACATGATATGGATCCTGCTTGGCACTCAGATCTGCCCCTAATCGTCCGTGCCATTTTGAATTGCAGATACGAGTGCTGCTGCTTCTGTGGGTAACATGGCAACTTGCACACACCCAAAAAGGACGAGGGGGGACATGATAGCAGTGTTCCAATATCCCAGGGGCTGCCACAAAGAAGAGGGAGTCAAGCTATTCTCCAAGGTGCTTGAAGGCAAGACAAGAAGCAACGGATGGAAACTAATCAAGGAGAGACTTCCTGACAGTTAGAACAATTAACCAGTGGAACAACCTGCCTCCAGAAGCCATGAATGCTCCAACACTGGAACTGTTTAAGACGAGATTGGACAGCCATTTATCTGAAATGGTATAGGCAGGGATAGGCAACCTTGTCTCTTTTATGCCTCGTGGACTTTAACTCCCAGAATTCCTGAGCCAGCTGGCTCAGCATGGAAATCTCTCCCTTTCCCCTCAGCCGGCTGGCTCAGGAATTCTGGGAGTTGAAGTCCACGAGTCATAAAAAAGCCAAAGTTGCCTACCCCTGGGTTAAGTGTTTAATGGACCAGGCTAGAATTTGGAAGATTGTGAGTTCTAGTCCTACCATTGGCATGAAGCCAACTGGGCTTCTTACAGGAGGCCTCTCAGCCCAAGGAAGAAGAAAGCCAGGGCAAACCCACTTCTGAAATCTTGCCAAGAAACTTATCCTGGCAGTTGCCAGGAGACACAACACACGCAAAAGCTTGACAAAAAATGGTTTTTATTTCCATAAATCACCACGCGGGATTATCTATGAGAGCACCATATTAAAGTACTGTCAACTTATGATTTGAACTGGGGACTTGATATAGTTATAGCCATGTGTGTTTTGCTTTCGTTTTTTATTTTTATAACAAGTCCAGGTGCTTTTCTCCAACTTGGAAAAGGAGGCAGGAGAACCAGAAAAGATGCAGCCACCTAACAAAGCTCATCAAGATGGTAACAGGAAGACCAGTAAGTCTTCTTGGATTTCTCATGTTATCTTAATGCAGTGGTTCTCAACCTTTTTAATGCCGCGATCCCCCAACCGGTCGAAGACTACTCAACCGGTCGTAAGTCGAGGACTACTCAACTGGTGCAGCACCGTTTGCAGAATGGGACTTTTGGCGGGCTCAGCAGGCAGAGATAGGCTGGACAATTCCTATTGGCTTTTGAAAGCCAATAGAATTAGACTCTATTCAAGAGAGTCTATTCTATTGGCTTTCAAAAGCCAATAGAATAAAAGGGAGTAGCACAGCTAAGGAAAAGGGGGGAAAAAATGGCGGACTGCGTTGTTTGGCGACCCCCGTGAAATGGCCATTCAACCCCAAATGGGGTCCCGACCCACAGGTTGAGAACCACTGTCTTAATGTAAAACGACGACAGCTACAAGAGGTGAACAAACCCAATGGGGGTTTTAACACATTATACAGGTAGTCCTCGACTTACGACCGCAAATTGAGCCCAAAATCTATATTGCTGAAACACGTGTTAATTTTGCCCCATTTTTTATGACTTTTCCTGCCACAGTTGCTAAGTGAGTCACTGCAGTTAATTTACTAACGCAGTCGCTAAGTGAATCTGCCTTCCCCATTGACGTTGCTCATTGGATGGTCACAAAAGGGGATCTGGTGACCCAGCAACCGTCATAAAGGCGAACCAGTTGCTAAGCATCTGAATTTGGATCACGTGACCGTGGGGATGCCGCGGCGGCTGGAAGTTTGAAAAATGGTCTTAAGTGTACGTTGTAATGTTGAACGGTCACTAAATGGACTGTTGTACGTTGAGGACTACCTGTAATTGTTAACTAATAAGGCAGTGATGGCGAACCTTTTAGAGACCGAGTGCCCAAAGTACAACCCCAAACCCACTTATGTATCGTCGGGTGCCGGGTGGGCATGGCCCATGGGGTGGGCGTGGCTGCGGTGGTAACGGCAAACTGGGTGGGACTAAAAAGTTCAATCAATCAATTCCAACTTTGCGAGATCTTTTTTTCCCGCGAGAAGTTGAAATTGATTGATTGAACCTTTTTTTTTTTTTTTTTTTTTGCACATGACGGCGGAGGCCTAAAGTCAAAAGGTTTTATAAAACCCAGCTGAAGGCCTAGGACTGGGGCAACGGCACGTGTGCCCACAGAGAGGCCTCTGCATGCCATCTGTGACACGTGTGCCATAGGTTCACCACCACGGTAATAAGGGATTTGTAACTTGCCTCAACTTTACAGGTAGCAGAAGAAACATTCTGTTTTCCCCTTCCATCAGGCCTTCGGTGGCACCACTGCAGCGTGGCTGGGCAAGTGGGCAGGTATTACGGAGGTTGGGCAGGTGCAGGGTGGCAGGTATGCCTACATTATGAAACAGGAGCTATCTGGGATCTTGTACTTCGTAGCTGAGCTGTAGGAGAAGAAGTGATGGGGGTGGCAGTGAGTTACAGGAGCAATCTGCAACCTTCCTTGCTGCTTCCCCATTAGCTTTGCTTGTGGGAAACCAGCGGGAAAAGTCCCAAATGATGATCAAATGTCTACTAGACCCTGCAACACTTGTGAGCTGGTTGCCAAGTGCCTGGATTGTAATCGCGTGACCGCGAGCTGGCTGGGACAGCCCAAACATCACTTATTACATTCCCCTCATTCAGCACCATGGTAATTCTGAACAGCCACGAAATGAGTGGTCATTAATCAAGAAATATCTCTGTGGGCTCCCTTTTGTACTTTATTTTAACTTTAGGCAATATTTTCTCCCACTGTTGACAAAGGATCGATTGCAGGTGTGGGAAATATGAATTAAACACCTCAGTCGATTATCATGGTGGCAGAGTAAAAGCAATTCTGAAAACCAAAACAGAGAGAGGAAAAGTGGTCAGGTTTTTGTTGTTGTTGTTTTTTAAATCACTCTCTTTTTTTTTTCCCCTTGCAAATCAGGTAACAAACAAGAGAAGGCAACCCTGGGAGGCACTGTTGAGCTGAAGAGTTTGGGCCACTTGGAACTCCACGAAGCCCAAACTAATAGTTTTCGATTTTGTGAGAACGCAGGAACACCTGGACATCGGCAGAGAGGCAAAACTAACTTGGACTGCACTCTAGGCCTGGTAGGAAAGCAATCCCCATTTTGGGAGGAAGGAAACGGTGGTTTGGATGAAAATGCCATTCAGCAAGGGATTAAGCAGATCTTTGATCTTCTTGAGACTCCAAGAAGGCCAGTGGTGCCAAAGCCCCATAGATGCTCATACTGTGGAAAAAACACAAGCTGCAGATCACAGCTGATTATGCACAAGAGGATCCACATGGGAGAAAAACCATACAGATGCTTCGAATGTGGCAAAAACTTCGGTCGAAACAGTTTCCTGGTGGTTCACCAAAGGACCCACACCGGAGAAAAGCCCTACGAATGCTCCGAGTGTGGGAAGGTCTTTTGCTGCAGCTCCAATCTTTTCATACACAAAAGGACCCACACTGGAGAAAAGCCCTATCAATGCTCTCAGTGCGACAAAAGGTTTAGCGAGCACACCACCCTTGTGATTCATAAGAGGACTCACACAGGAGAGAAACCGTTTGAGTGTCCAGAGTGCGGGAAAAGCTTTAATACTAGTTCAAATCTTACAAGTCATGTGAAGTTGCACATGGGAGAGAAACCCCACAAATGTTTGCAGTGTGGGAAAAGTTTCAGTCGGAATTCCAATCTGGTGATACACCTGAGGACTCACACGGGAAAGAAACCATACGAGTGTCCCGATTGTGGGAAAGGTTTCACAACAAGCTCTAATCTAATCAGTCATGTCAGTTTACAAATGGGCGAGAAGCCGTTTAGGTGCCCAAACTGTAGTCAGTGTTTCAGCCACAACTCTACTCTTACTAAACACAAGAGGACACATATAGGAGAAAACACCATCAGCATTCTGATTGCAAGAAAAGCTTTATGATCACTCTGGGATCTTAGAAAACTTCCAAGAGTTCACCAGGATACACACCAGTTTGCTTGTCTCCAGCTCGCTGGATTATTTTCAGCCAATGAGACAACTTTATTAAACACGAGAGACTCAACCAGAAGAAATGCTCTGTGCACAAGATTTGCTTGCAAAAAGTAATGAATCATTAAGTGAGAATTAGGATTCCAGCAAGAGCAGTCTGAAAGCAAAGTAAGAATCTAAAGATAACTATGCAGAATAAAAATATTCTTAAGGCATCAAAACTATCCTTATTGTATTTAACTTGTTATTACAGAAAGATAGGAGTCCTGTTGCACAGTGGTTAGAATGTAGTATTGCAGGCTAACTCTGCCCACAGTCTAGAATTCGATCCCAGCGGACTCAAGGTTGACTCAGCCTTCCATCCTGCCAAGGTCGGTAAAAGGAGAACCCAGATTGTTGGGAGCAATATGGTCTCATTGTAAACTGCCCAGAGAGTGCTGTAATGCACTATGGGGCAGTATATAAATCTAGAATAGAATAGAGCTGGAAAGGACCCTGGAGGTCTTCTAGTCCATCCCCCTGTTCAAACAGAAGAACCTACACCATCTCGGACAGGTGATTGTCCAGTCTTTTCTTGAAAATCTCCAGTGATGGAGCACCCACGATTTCTGGGGGGTAAGCTGTTCCACTGGTTGATTGTCCTCACTGTAAGGAAGTTTCTCCTTAATTCCAGGTTGCTTCTCTCCTTGATCAGTTTCCAACCATTGTTTCTCATCCTTCCCTCTGGTGCTCTGATGAACAGCCTGACCCCTTCTGCCTTGTGGCAGCCCCTCAGATACTAGAAGTACTAAATGCTATTGCTATTGCTCTGAACAGAATGAAAATGTGATAGGTTTGCTCTAGTTGCAGCCAAACATTTGAAGTTAAGACTGCTGAATGAGGAGACATATGGCCATTGCTCATACTTGTGGCTGTCAGAGCATCCCGTTGTCACATGATAGCAATTTGTAGCTTTTACAGCTGGCTCCCGACAAGCAAAATCAGTGAAAAAGCAAGCATACTCATAGGCTATCACACTTAGCATCTGGGGGTGATTCACTTAACAACTATACCTTCAATTGACGTCATAAATTGGTGTGGTTCTGTGAGATTTCATCTTACAAATGCATGGCTTACTGATGGAATTGTCGGTCCCTGTAGTGATTCGTAAATGAGGACTTTTGTATTATATTTGTAATATAGTTGTTGTGGTATGTTTTTGCCAAGAAAGCAGCACAACAATGAAGAAAAATGGCCAGACCATTGGGTGCCAGCTTTCCAATCCTGGTTAGAGCCCCAAGCCGTAGAGCCCCAGGCCTGAGGATGTAGCCAGGCCTTGATAGCCTTCCAGAAGGTCAAACGGAGTGGAATCAATTTCAGGGGAAAGGTTATTCCATAAGATGGAGGCCATAGCAGAGAATGCACATCTCCTGGGACCTACCACATTCAGATTCCCAGCTGATAGGAGTAGATTATTAATCAGAAATTTCTAATGAATCTAAAGGTGGGGCGATGGGTAGGAGGCTCCGCAAGGCAAGGCAGGGGCCGGTACGGCTGCTGCCTGACACCCTCGGCCCCCGCACAGAGAGGCCAGCGAGTGCATGGGGGCCGACGGTATCCGTCAGCAGCCCTCAACCGGCACACTCTGGGGCTCTGCAGCCCGCAGTTCAGAGAAGCTGCCTCTGAGCTGGACGGCCAGCTGATAGCTGAGGAGGCGATGCAGTGGGTCGTGCCTGGGAAAAGGAGAGCATGTGAGGCCAGGAGGGATGGGACGGGGGGGAGGGAAATCAGCCGTGCTGGGATGCATCTGGCCACCTGGGACCTCGGCAAGTTAGCGGGCGGCTGATTGAAGAGGGACGGTTGCCATCTCCGGGGCATGGCGTGTGTGCCCACAGAGAGGGCTCTGAGTGCCGCCTCTGGCACACGTGCCATAGGTTCGCCACCACTGGTTTAGACGCTTCGAGTGTTCAAACAAGGGATGTTGAATGTGATAGGGGAGGAGGGAATCTGCATCGGGGTAGGATATAAAAATGTGTCAAACAGCTCTTTAAGGTGTGGCTGGACTCCTATGTGTGCTTCAGCTCACCAAGTCTTTGCAAATGCTTCTTTTCAAATAAAATTTTGTTTCTGGAATTCCAAGTGAGTTTGTTTGTTTTGGGATCTTGAGCCACGTTCCAAACACAGCTGATGGTACCTACAGCATGTCTTTGCCAGGTCTAATCAGGCAGGCTGAAATAAGCAGGGAAAGAGGCAGTCCTTCAGCTCAATCATGTTTGGCATGTAGGCTCAATATCCCAAAACGAACATTACTCACTTGGAATTCCATAAACAAAGTTTTATTTGGAAAGAAGCATTTGCAAAGGCTTGGTGGACTTAAGCTCACACAGGAGACATCAAGCCACACCTCAAAGAGATGGAACACACACTCTTATACCCTGTCCCCGAAGCAGATTCGCCCCTCCCTTATCGCTCTCAACACCCCTTGCTAAATATCCGATAAACTAATCCGAGGTGCCTAAACCATTTTCCCTCTTTTCCCCATGGCTCCTATAGTTATCTTTATGTTTCCTCTGATTGCGGTCATGCCTAGCTTCAGTTGACCCAATTTATGCTATTTGCTAGCCTAAGCTCTATCTTTATTTTTGTGTTTCCCCTACTTGCAGTTTTGGTTTCAAAGTCAAAATTGGCACCTTGAATTGGATCCGGAAGCAAACTGTCAGCAAGTACAGCTCAGGGAGCAAAGGTGTGACATGTGCTGCTTCAGAAACACATATAGCTATCCAGCCACCGCATTCTCTACCTGCTAAAACTTTTGGATAGTCTTCAAGGGCAGCTCTGCAGAGTTCATTGAAGGCATCCAATAAACAGGTGGCATGGACAGAATTGACCGTAACCAGGGCCTGCAGATCCAGGAACAGCCACCACTGGCTCTCAAATCAATCAGTAATAAAAGTTTTAGATTGCAGAGAGTTTGTGATCTCTGGTGACAGCCAACCCCTGCCAAAGTGCAGGAATTTTTAGATCAGCTTCCAATCTGCAAACTAGTGGCCTCCAAATGTTTTGCCCAGGCAGCCTGGGAATTCCCAAGACTTAAATCTTAGTGCTCTGGAAATTGAGAAGGCTGCTCTAAAGAGATTTGTATTCCCCAATAATACAGAGGGGATGATAGAATCGCCTATATCCTGAGGTCGTTGGAAACAACGCGGAAAGACACTTCCAGATTTTGTCCTGCATTATTCTATTAATAAGATGAAGATGGCAAATTGGTAATCCTTTAGGGCTGCGCACACACACACAAAAAACTTCATGAACTTTTAGGGCCCAGTAAGCGCTTGTCTAATTTTAGGATGCTAGAGATCGGACGATCTAGCTTCAGGTGGCTAGATGGCGCTCTATGGTTAGGCAAGAATCACCGGCAAAATCGCAAATACAGTAGCAGCGCCTATAGCTGAACCTAAAGCAATTGAGACCATAGAGTCGTAGGTTGCTAGAGAGAATATGGAGGAGAGGAAAAGCACCGAGAAACCTCCTCTTCAGGCTTCCTAATGAGAGGCTGGTGGGGGCCGTCGTGCTTTTTCCCAGGTGGAAGCTGGAAGGTGAGTTGAGGACAGGTCGGAGGAGGGGCCGGGATCAATTAAGCTTTTTTTATTTCGCTCCACGGTGTAGCAGCTCATAAACAACTGTGCTGAAATATGTCGTCTGTTGCATATTCCTTCCCCCTCCCCAGCCCAATTTTATTCCACCAGAGCTGCACGCTTTAAGGTGCCTGCATTTTCTGTTAATTGGGAGATTTCAGCGTCACATTCACTTTAGGGTTGATTCCTGGTGCTTTTTATGAGCGTGTTGTTTTGTTTGCAAGTGAGGAGCTTCATAGGCAAAACTGGTGCTTTAAATTTTGCAGAGGCTTTGGGTACCATTTCTTCTGTTAATGCCCACACCCTGTACAATACCTATTTCTGAGACATTTTGCAGACAGAAAGTACACATGGATTTTCTACATACATACATGCTTCTATAGTCAATTACCAATAAAACGTGAACACCAGGAATATAATAAACTATAAAAGTTTAATACTATCACTGATCACCAAGCTTTCGTCAGATACTTCTGACATCGTCAGGGTTAATGCTGGTCTGTGGGAGAGTGCCTTTATAGGTGAGCCGTCATTTGCACACGGCTCTTAGATCTTGTCGTAGGTCCTAATTGATTTAACTGCTTTTTAATTATGGCTTCCATACTGATGACTCCTCTTTTCTTGCTTTTACTGCTTGTGGGTGTGTCATTATTCCCCTCTACCTCCCACTGTCTTGAATTAGGGAGGTTCTTTCCTCCCCTTTTTGGGTCATTTGTACCTCTAAGTTGTTCCCTCTTCACACCTCTGTGTCTCCTACCTCCCTCCTTCTTCTGATCTTTACTTGCTCCCCAATTGTCATCCCTCATTCTATGGGGGCGCACTCTCAGCCTTTCTCCCCATCCCTTGCTTTCCATTTCCTTCTCTTTGGCTGCATACATGTTTCTGTATTTCTTTGTGTAGATATGTGTATTTGTATTCCCATCCTCAGTATTTCCAGGTATATATGATTATAATAATTTGCAGTGCTAACCGTTTGTGATTTACAGGAGACAACAAGAGAATTTCATGGCTGTGAATATTTGAACTTGCATCTCACTAGTCTTCTATGTGTCATAATGAATTCTAATAGTTAATCTAGCATTTTGGCATGTTTGCTTTTTCATTCTAATGTACGCTCTTGCTTTCATATCTTGCAACCATATTATAGTGAACAATTAAAGTATCCCTTTTATGTGAATCTTACAGACAAAGAGAATGCCAAGAAAAATGCCAAGAACAGCATTCTGGACAGCAGAGAATCAGAAGACAAATTCTTTACATCTGGTAATCAACATCTTTTCCCTGTCCTCCAGAAAACCATGAAACTCTTCTCCTTCTCCAGCAAGTGAGAGAAAAGAGAGAAAAAATAGGAAGAGTTTTGAGCTGAAAAACAAATATTGTATGTGGAACTCAGGGAAACATTATATGAAAAAATAAAGGTGGAACATTTCCAGATTCAGAAAAAGAGGAAATCGTTAGATGTCTATGAGGAGGAACCGCTCATTCCAGACAATAATGCAGACCTCACTCTGTGAAGAAACAGCTTGATCCATCCAAGAAAGGATCACAAATATTTTTTAATCTCCTCAAGAATCCAAAACAATCAGTGGTGGAAAAGCTCCACAGATGTGCATATTGTGGGAAAAACACAGATTGCATACCCGAGCTCATTATGCATGAGAGGATCTACACTGAAGAAAAGCCCTACCAGTGCCCACAATGTGGCAGAAAATTTAGTAAGCATGCCAACCTGGTGCTACACGAAAGGACACACACTGGAGAGAAACTATTTGAATGTCCAGAATGCGGGAAAAGTTTCAGTCAGAATTCCTACTTGGTGATACACCAGAGGATTCACACTGGGGAGAAACCATATGAGTGTCCAGATTGTGGGAAAAATTTCACTCGAAATTCTGACTTGGTGATACACATGAGGACTCACACAGGAGAGAAACCATATGAGTGTCCGAATTGTGGGAAAAGTTTCAGTAAGAATTCTGACTTGGTGATACACCAGAGGATTCACACAGGAGAGAAACCATATGAGTGTCCAGATTGTGGGAGAAGTTTCGGTCATAATTCCGTTCTGGTGATACACCGGAGAACTCACACTGGGGAGAAACCATATGCATGTCCAGAGTGTGGGAAAAGTTTCAGTAATAATTCTAATCTTGTGAAACACCAGAGGACTCACACAGGAGATAAACCATATAAGTGTCTACACTGTGGAGAAAGTTTCAGTCAGAACTCTTGTCTGGTGATACATCAGAGAAAGCACACAGGAGAGAAACCATATGAGTGTCTGGATTGTGGGAAAAGTTTCCATCAGAATTCTAACCTGGTAAAACACCAGAAGACTCACACAGGAGAGAAACCATATGAGTGTTGGAATTGTGGGAAATGTTTCAGTAACAATTCCAATCTGGTGATACACCAGAGGAGTCACACAGGAGAGAAACCATATGAGTGTTCGGATTGTGGGAAATGTTTCAGTAACAATTCTAATCTAGTGATACACCAGAGGACTCATACCGGAGAGAAACCATATGAGTGTTCGGATTGTGGGAAATGTTTCAGTAAGAATTCTAATCTAGTGATACACCAGAGGACTCACACAGGAGCGAAACCATATAAGTGTCCAGATTGTGGGAAAAGTTTCGGTCAGAATTCCAAGCTGGTGATACACCAGAGGAGTCACACAGGAGAGAAACCGTATGAGTGTCCAGTTTGTGGGAAAAGGTTCAGTCATAATTGTAACCTGGTGGGACACCAGAGGACTCACACAGGAGAGAAACCGTATGAGTGTCCAGACTGTGGGAAAAGTTTTAGTCAAAATTCCAACCTGGTGGTACACCAGAGGACTCACACAGGAGAGAAACCGTATGAGTGTCCCAACTGTGGGAAAAGTTTCAGTGTTAATTCTGCCCTAGTGATGCACCTGAGGACTCACACAGGAGAAAAACCCTATGAGTGTCCAAGTTGTGGGAAAAGTTTCAGTCATAGTTCTGCCCTAATGATGCACCAGAGGACTCACACAGGAGAGAAACCATATGAGTGTCCAGTTTGTGGGAAAAGATTCAGTCATAATTTTAACCTTGTGAAACACCAGAGGACTCACACAGGAGAGAAACCCTATGAGTGTCAAAATTGTCAGAAAAGTTTCAGTCAGTATTCCAGCCTGGTGATACACCAGAGGATTCACATAGGATGAGTGCCTGAATTGTGGGGAAAGTTTCAGTTGGGATTCCTGCCTGCTGGAATAATAGGGAACTCACACAGGAGAAAAACCCTTTGAATGTTCCTATTGTGGGAAAGTTTTCACAAGTAGCTCTAATCTAATAAATCATGTCAGTTTACACACAGATCAGAAGCCATGCAGATGCCTAAACTATGGTCAGTAATTCACACAATTCTACTCTTATTAAAAATGCAGGAGAAAAGACCATCAGCTTTCTGATTGCAAGGAAAGCTTGATGGGATCTTGGAAAACTCAAAAGAGTTCACAAGGATATAAGCCATTGTTTGTTTCCAGCTTGCTGGATTATTTTCAGCCAAAGAGCCAAGTTTATTAGACTTGAGAGATTCAACCAGAAAAGTTCTCAGGCACAAGAGGATTTGCTTGCAAAAATCAGTAAGTATTAGGATTTCAAGAACAGTTTTCTGAAAGCATGGTAAGAAAATAAATATAACTATGTGGAATAAGAATATTCCTAAGGCATTAAAACTATTCTTATTATATCCAATTTGATATATTACAGAAAAATAGTAGTCTTGGTGGTGCAGTGGTTAGAATATAGTATTGTACTTTAACTCTGCCCATAATCTGGAGTTCGATCCTGACAGGCTCAAAGTTGACTCAGTCTTCCAGCCTTCCCGGATTGGTAAAATGAGGACCCGGATTATTGGGGGCAGTGTGCTGACAGCGTAAACCGCCCAGAGGATGTGTAAACATTGTGAAACAGTATATAAGCCTAAATGCTATTGCTATACCCGGAAGGAAAAAGTTATAAGTTTGCTCTTGTTGCAGCCAAAGCTATAAGTAGGGAGAATGACTAATTAAGCATAACAGAAACTTTAGGGGAGGAAATAACAACATAATCAATTAGAGAGTTGGGAGCAATCATCAAGTCATCCAGTCCAGGGGTCTCCAAACTTGGCAGCTTGTAAGACTTGTGAACTTCAACTTCCAGAATTCCCCAGCGAGCATGGCTGACTGAGGAATTCTGGGAGTTGAAGTCCACAAACCTTAAAGTTGCTATATTTGGAGATCCTTGATCTAGTTTAACCCCAGAAAGGACACTGCATCAGTATTTTGGTTCAGAACCTGAGGTGAGCTTCGCTTGGAAAACATGGAGTGTGAATTTGGAGCTACGGAGCTGCTGAAAAGTAGCAAGATTGCCAAGATGATAGTACTGTGAACATGACATGAAGTGAGTGCAAACAAAGCTTGTTTTGGTCAGAAGCCATTGAAATGCAAGAAATGGGTAACAAAAGTCTAGAGGTAGTGCTTTCTAAATGAATCCTCTTTCACCACCCATTTGAAGTTAAGACTGCTGAATGAGGAGACTTATGGCCATTGCTCATATTTGTGGCTGTCAGAGCATCTCCTTCTCCCATAGCAATTTGTAGCTTTCACAGCCGGCTTCCAACAAGCAAAATCAGTGGAAAAGCAAGCGGGGAGTTGCAAATCTCACTCAAAAGCGATCACACTTAACATCTAGGGGGGATTCTCTTAACAACCATACTTTCAACTGACGTCTCAAGTTGGTGAGGTCCCATGAAATTTCACTTTATCACTGCATGGCTTAATGATGGAATTGTCGGTCCCTGTTGTGACTGGTAACTGAGGACTTTCTGTATTCAATTTGCAAGATAGTTGTGGTGGGATGTTTTTGCCAAGAAAGCAGCACAACAGTGAAGAGAAATGGGCAAACCCTGTTTGAGAATGGTTGGGTGCCTGTTTTCCAAGAAAGAGGGATCCCAAACAATAGCAAGGCAGAGATTCTTTTACTGTTCAGGATTAAGAGGTGGGAAATCCAAGGTAGGGGAAGTTTTGGGGGAATTGGCACCAGACTAGAAACTGGGGGACTGTGAGTTTTAGTCCCACTTTAGGCATGAAAACTGACTTTGGGCCAATCAGCAGGAGGCTGTGAGTTCTAGTCTCTACTGAGACAATAACAGTTTGGGCGACCTTGGGCCAGTGACTTTCTCGGCCCAACTCACAGGATTGTTAATGGGGAAATACAAGGAAAGAGTATTAGGTATGTTTGCCTCCTTGAGTCATTTATAAACATAATAAAGGCAGGATAAAATTGAATAAATAACTGAGATGGGTGTAAAACAGGGGAAGATAAGTCTTTTTAAAAAAATGTAAAACCAAAGTCACACTTTTGTGACAAGTGGAATATTGAGTTAGTGGAATATTGAGATAATAATAATAATAGTAGTAGTAGTAGTAGTAGTAGTAGTAGTAGTAGTAGTAGTAAAGTTGTAAGGGACCTTGGAGGTCATCTGGTCCAACCCCCTGCTTAGGCAGGAAACCCTACACCATTTCGGACAAATGGCTGTAGTCTCTTCTTAAAAACTTCCAGTGTTGGAGCATTTACTGCTTCTGGAGGCAGGTTGTTCCACTGATTAATTGTTCTCACTGTCAGGAAGTTTCTCCTTAGTTCTACGTTGCTTCGCTCCTTGATTAGTTTCCACCCGTCGCTTCTTGTCCTGCCTTCAGGTGCTTTGGAAAATAGCTTGATTCCCTCTTCTTTATGGCAGCCCCTGAGATATTGAAACACTGCTATCATGTCCCCCCTTGTCCTTCTCTTCGTTAAACTAGACATACCCAATTCTAGCAACCATTCCTTATATGTTTTAGCCTCCAGTCCCCTAATCATCTTTGTTGCTCTTCTCTTCTTCTTTCTAGAGTCTCAACATCTTTTTTACATCGTGGTGACCAAAACTGGATTCAGCACTCCAAGTGTGGCCTTACCAAGGCATTGTAGAGTGGCATTAATTGTTGATGAGGGGCTTTCTGCCTTAGATGAACCATTGGTGGGCAGATGAGAGCTTGTGCTAGTCCAGTATATAGCCATCTTAGGAATTAAGGATTGTGTGTAGAGCAAGTAGCATTTTAAGGGTTAAAGTGCTGCCCCCTTAAAGGTAGTCTTCTGGGAAATGTAGTTTTAGTTGTTACATGGTTACATCTGTGTTCTAATTGGCCACTGGGAGGGACTTGTGTTTTGTTACGGGACATCCTGTGTACATGCCCAGTTTATTATCTCTCTCCATGCATCCTAGACACGAGGCTGAGCTCCGTAGAATGGGGAAATCCATTATCCTTTTACCTATGAGATGGATCCAGATTACAATCTACATTCTGGAAGAACTTCTATGATAACTGTGAGTTAATGTCTTGATGATGCCTGGAATAAAGTAATTTTGTATGACTTATCCATGGAGTTTATTCTGCCTGTTTCAAGTGAAATGTGCATGAGACAGGAAAGAGCTATCTTTTCATACATAAATGGGGGAAGCAGGAGAGAAATGATGGAATGAGTTTGCAGCAAGGGAGGAAGAAAGGAAAAAGACGGGGAGGTGGAGAATTTGGAGAAGAGTATGCAGCTTTATTACAGGTCGTCCTTGACTTACGACCACGAATGAGCCCAAGGTTTCTATTGCTCAACAAAACAGCTGTTAAGTGAGCTTTGTCCCATTTCACAACCTTTCCTACCACAGTTGCTAAGAGAATCACTGTAATTATTAAATTAGTCACATGGCTGTTTAGTGACTATGGCTTCCCCATTGACTTTGCTCGTCAGAGTGTTGCAAAAGGTAATCAAATGACCACAGGACACTGCAAATACCAACATCTGAATTTTGATCATGTGACCTTGGGGAGGCTGCAACAGTTGCAAGTGTGAAAAAAGATCCTAAGTCACTTTTCAGTGCTGTATAACTTTCAAATGGTCACTAAAGAAATGGCTGTAAGTCGCGGACTACCTATATTTATTCATCACATACTGATTGCAGGTTATTAATAAAATTCTTGTAGTAAACTGTCCTATTAATACAGGGGACGTAATGAATTTTGCAATAATCGTTCCAAAGTACAGGTAGTCCTCGACTTACAACCATTGTTTAGTGACCGTTCAAAGTTACGACGTCACTGAAAAGAGTGACTTTAGGACCCTTTTTCATACTTAACGACCGTTGCAGCATCAGCATTCAAATACTTGGCAACTGGTTCATATTTATGATGGTTGCAGTGTCTTGGGGTTATGGGATCCCCTTTTGTGACCCTCCTCAATGAGGAGGCCAGATTCAGAACAAATGTGGCAAGGAAGGTCGTAAAATGGGGCAAAACTCACTTAACAACTGTCTCGCTTAAAAACAGGAATTTGGGGCTCAATTGTGGCCGTAAGTCGAGGACTACGTAATAAGAACTGTTGCCTCGCCCCTAGCTGGATACTAATATTCTGCAGCAATGTTTCTAAAAATACCTTATTTCATGAGAGCCATTAATTTTCTTATTTTTTAAAAAAAAATTATTAGATTTTATAAGGGTGGGGAAGGGGTAAGATCGGTAAGGGTGTTGGATGGGGTTGGGGAGTGAGATTGGGATAAGGGAAGGGAAAGTTATAATAGTGGGGTTACCCCCAACAGTAATTCATTGTTTTAGCAAGCAGACGGTCATCCGGGTACAAATGTTAAATAACAGTAATTAAAATAATACTAAAACATAATCACAAAAAATAATCGTAATCATAAGAAATAAAAATTAGTCAATAAGTGTCGTTTATCCTACTAAATAAATAGTTATTATAATACTGAATAATTATAATCACTAACGATAACAATAGTCATAAAAATAAAGCTTAGTCAATAAATCATTCATCTTGTTAGCTTTACAATGTTAAATAACCTTAGTTAATATGATACTAAACAATTATAGTCACCAAGAATGACAATAATCATAAAAAAAAGAAAAGTTAGTATCATTCATCTTAAGTAGCAATAATTAATATAATACTAAATAATCATAATCGCTAACAATAACAATAACCATGAAACTAAAGTCTAGTCAATAAATATCCTTCATCCTATTAAGTTTCACAATCCATTCTCATTCTATCGAACTGCTAACCATTGATAAAGAGAGCCATTCATTTTGACATGGTAGGCTCTAAT